GCAACTGTATTAAAGTGTCACAGCATAAGGAAGATTGAGAACTGCATTGGTCCAATGGTTCTTTTTCCTTCTTGCTAATTCGTTTTTGTCTCTAGCCATGAATATTTAATTACCAATTAAATTGTTGGAATGAATGAACATATTCTCTTATGTTTTCATTTGGTCAAGAGAGAAACTAAATATTTTGGATGACTGCTACCATTTTCCTCCCACTGTGTGACATATCAATTATAGAAAATAGAAAACCAGAAAGGGACTTGATATGCTTAGAGTACCTGCTTACATTGAGTTAGAGTTTGTAATCTTTTCAAACTTGCATTTTGTTTGACCAAATGCATCTCTGTCGATTGATTCATTTCTAAGGGTGTGGACACGTTCCTGTACTGTTAATCAAGTTTAGGAAGAAGGAAATTTTGGAAGAGTCTGCTTAAAACCTGCTGTGTCATTAGATCATTGCAGAGTGTAGAACCATTGCCTCCTTAGAGCACTTACAAAGCAAAATCATGAGCTGTGGTAGACCAGACCTAAATACATCACACCTAAGGAGCTCTGGACACGCAAGTTAAAAACAAAAGCAAAACAAAACACTTGACATTGAGTTTGCCTTCAGTCACCTTTAAATTAACATGCCATTTGCTCTTAGAATAAGAATGGAAAGGAATGGTTTTTATTTCAGTTTCAAAATTAAAATATTAGTTTAAAATATTGATTCCAAGTTTAGCAACCACCCGTGGGCTTGTAGTTTATATCTGTGTACTTAAAAAGTGGTTTTGAAGTAATTTAGAGTTTAAAATTATTTTTAATGTTTATTTTATGTGGTTGAATGTTTTGCCTGTATATATGAATGCATACCATGTGTATACATGCCATGTGTGAACACTGCTCTCAGGTGTCAACATCTCTGAGGATCAACATCAGATCCTCAGGAACTGGAGTTACTACAGGTAGTTGTAAGCCACCTACAGGAAATAAAATCAGAGTCCTCTGCAAGAGCAGCAATTGCTGTTAACTACTACACTATCACTTCAACCCTTGTTTAGATTATTTTCCCTTGATTTTTAAGACAGAACTTCTCTGTGTAACAGCCCTAGCTGTCCTAGAACTAGCTCTTGTAGACCAGGCTGACTTCAAGCTCACAGAGATCCTCCTACCTCTGCCTCCAATTAATGGATTAAAGGTGTGTGCCACCACCACCCAGCTTGTTTAAATTTTTTTTGAAAAAAATGAAATAAACAGGATTATATTATTTGAATTAACCACATGTCTGAGAGACACATTTAAATATAATCCATTTAGAATGAACTATTTTAATAATTTCTGGCAAAATTTCTCCACTGAAAATGGTCTCTATGGATAAATGAGAAATCACACAAACCATCCAAGATCAAATATTGCTTTGTATTTTTGTGAAAAAAAAATCTAAGGAACAGTCAAGGCTACTGATTTGGAAGGACGTATATTGTCTGGATGTCCTCTATGTACATGAATTTGGGATCCTCCGGGTGTGAAGAGGGATATTGTTGGCTACTCAAGTACCTTTGAGTCAGGGAGGCAGGTGCTTGACTACCGGGAATCTGGGATTTTGCTTCGCCATTTACACTGTGGATGCTTTTTATTCTGTTCCTTAAGAAGAGAGACTCCTGACAATGTGGACGACCTTACGTCTTAAGGTCATCCATGTCACAGACGGCTAGGGCAAGCTGATAGGAAGTCTGATCTTCTGTGGGGTTTGGTACTGCCTCACACAGAGAAACTCAAAGTGGATGTAAGTGGTGTTCACACATATACATGTTTATACATCCGGATCAGCTGGGGGAACAGACATATTTAAGACCTTATATCCAAAGCCCTTTGTCTCCTGTGCATTCTGTATCTTCTCTTAAGGGAAGGTATGCACACCCGATGGGCCATTTGGTAAGGACAGGAAAGATACAGATAGTGGTTCTTTTTACCAAAGAACCCCATGGGATTAGCTCCAAAGTCAAGGTTATGACATTGACCCACATAACAATTTCAGTGGAAGACTTTTCAGAATTAAATGGCAGCAGTGATGTTTTTTGTTTGTTTTTATGTTACTATTATTATGATTATTATTATTATTTGCAAAATTTATCTCTACAATTGCAAACTTACCCAGGTCACTAAATGAGGAGTAATTAAGGAATGGAAGATAAGTATTCTTGTAATCCTAGTGGGAAGAGGAGGATGGATTCCGTGTCAGCTTGGGCTACATAGGAGGACCGATCCTCAAAAGGGAAAGATGAAAGGTACTTAAGGTATTTAAATGCTGGGATGAGGTTTGGTGGTAGCATGGTTTCCTAGTACATATGTGGCCAGGGTTCACCCCCAGTACTGCAGGGCAAAAGAGGCTCCTGCTCGCTGAAAACAAGAGTTGTTCATTTATTGTCAGAAAGGACCTGATGAGAAAGGTACAAAGGCAAAGAGAAACCTAGGGTTCGTTTTCTCCTTCCTCTGCATATGCTTTTTTGTTTACAGTGTGTATGTTCGCATGTATATCTGACTCATTCCCTTTAAGATGTCCACAAATACTTTCTAAGATTCTTTTGCTCGACTTTAGTGCAGCAATTCCACAAGAGGAACGGAGCTCAACTCTTGTACATTATTTTTTCTGTGATTCCCCTCACGAGTCCCAATAACGTCCCTCGTAACTATCCCCCAACTCCATCCTCAAGTGGGTTTCATGCAGTAGCTTAGTCATGTTTAATTTCTTTTTAATTGGCTTCCTAGTCTTCTCTGGTCATTCATGACATTGACTTTTTTTTTAAAGCCTTAGAACAATTTTATAGAGTAGCCTTTATTGAAATTATCTGTTTTTATGTTTGATATCAAGACTCTGAAGAACTAGGAAATAAATAAATGAAGAGAGAAGCGGGCAGAGAAAGAGATGTGATAGAAAAGGATAAAGTGAATGGATGAAGAGAACTAGACACTTATTCAATGAGAAGATATTGATGCAAATGAGAGACAAAAGTCTTATAGTTTGTGTTCAGACTTGTGCTTGGACTCTATAAACCAAAGCCTGGAGTGGTGGGAGAGGGAACACAGACTTACTGAGTTTTAAGGATATCTAACTATATAGGGAATTTTGTTTATTAAAGCAAGGGACCAGACCTTGAGAATTTTGGTGGCATTTCAACTTCAATTTAAAATCCAGTTGTAAAGCACACACTCATTCCCTTAGTTTGTGCAGACCTGCAGTAATTTATTTTACTTAATATATACAAGCCAGTTTCTTTGATGCCATTTGGCTCTTCTCCCGTGTGTTTCTTCTGAGCCTTTCAGTGGAGTCAGAAAGTTATAAATGATCTTAAGGAGCTGATGGAGATAAATATTAGGCACTTGTCAGGGATATTAGAATTTAGTGTTCTTAAAACTTCCAAAGCAGGACCGCAATCCATATCTCAAAAGTAAAAGTCCTGTGGAATTTGTTCGGAAAGCAGGTTTTACTTTAGAGCCATCAGTCGGCGATGGTGGTGGGGAGAACAAGAAATAAGACAGACATAATCGCCAAGTACTGAGAGCCGGGAACAGCTGAGTCTTCCAACTTGCTCCCATGTCTGCCTCAGTAGGTTCTTGCTGCACCACCAGCCCCCAAGTAAGTGAGGAGGTGTGCATATGGGGACTCTGCTATGAGACTGCGGCACTCGAAGGCTTTGGCTTTAATTCCCGTGCTCACTGCTGAATGTTTCGGGGTTTGCCTCCTAAGGGCAGAGCCATAGAAAAACAAATAACCTGAGTGGGCAAGGTATCCCCTTTCTGTGCCTGTGTAAGGCGACCTTGATTGTGTCCCTGGACTCTGGGTCCTTGCCCAGGGAGTAATTATGCCCTGGGCTGGTGAGGCAGAGCCTCGTTTGCTTGGGTTTGTTTTCTGGGATTTCCTGCTAATTCCTGAACTGAGCAGAAAAGTAGACTTTGTTGCTGGCCCTTGCCAGACTCAGCGGAAACCGCGAGTTGTTGAGGTCTTGGGTTCTCTAACGGTTGATCATTAAGTAAGTTTGTATGTGTAGACGAAAGCCATCTGTTTGTTCTTTAATTGGAAATATTTGAATAGAAGAATCAAATGCACTTTGTAGACACTTAAGACAAGGTGCCACCTATACCCATCCCTCAGCTTCTTGGTAGTCTGGGTTCATATTTATGTTACTTTACTTCTTACTCATCCCTGTATGATTTTATCCATTCATATTCTATCAAAACTGCCCATAGGCAGTTATGTATAAGTCACAATGATATGGATCCTTTGCAGGAAATTGTAAAGTAGCACAATTTGGCTCTTCACAGCTTCTCTTCTGAAGATTCAGAAATGCTAAGTTCATGTTGTATCTAGGACAGGACAACGGGGAGCATCTGGAGTGGTCAGTCACTCCCTGTCTCTGGGATAGCAACAGCAGGCTGGGTCAGGAGTGATGGGGCTGGAGGACTTGTGTCTTACAGGAAGGGGGCACCTGGGATGCTTAATGAGATGAGTGTGATTCTACTCTCTACAAATGTCACAACCAAGAAAAAAGGAAAAGTAGACTTCACAGCGTTTACTCTGAAATCAGTTTCCTACTAACACATGGGCATGTAGGACGGTGCCTTCCTACAGGGTTGAGCAGATGTGTGATGTGGGGCCATGCAGCTCAAAGACAAAGCCTAGCCCCATCCCCATCTCAGCACTGATTCTGTTAAACCACGAACTAGTTACTAAGAATATGTTTTAGGGATGAGTTTATCATCCAGGCTCCTCTCCCACCCACACCCCCTATGCTGGGTTTATTTTATTTGGGCATTTTGTTTTTCTCCTAGTTGGGATCCATTTTGGTCTATTCATTTTATTATTATTATTATTATTGTTGTTATTATTATTATTATTAATTATTTTGCTTTGGTTAGTAAAACTTTTGGTAATGGGACTTCATCAAGCTCATTCAACATTAGTAATTTTCCTTTTGAAAGGCCAAATGATCATGGTTTTTCTTCTCCCTTTCTCTTTACAGCCTTGCCTCCCCGATTGAAAGAGATGAAAAGCCAGGAGTCGGCTGCAGGTTCCAAGCTAGTGCTTCGGTGTGAAACCAGTTCGGAATACTCTGCCCTCAGATTCAAATGGTTTAAGAATGGAAATGAGCTGAACCGAAAAAATAAGCCACAAAACATCAAGATTCAGAAAAAGCCAGGGTAAGTCAAGTGCATTTAGTCATAGAATCTGTGCCAACAGCAACGGGATAATATAGGATAGAAAATTATATAGATCCTAGTATAAAATTTGTTATAAAGTGTGGTATATGATGAATAGGAAGACTTTTGATTGAATAGTCGCCAGAGATTGTCATATCAAATAGAAAGGAAGTTGGGAATTTATGATGCTTACAACTTTTGAACGAAGAAGTGGGGAGCTGAAGGGGAAGCCGTAGGAAGTCAGATGGGGCTGGCTGGGAGGGAAGGAGGAAGATGGAATCAGTGGTAGCTAATGTAATAGTCACGAAACCTGAGATTCGGTCTCCTTATAATAAGACAAGTGATATTTTAGCGCCAATGTCTAGTGCAGTCAAAATCCCAATGTCATTATAAAGATTAACAATTGCCTTCATTTATGGGATATAATGCAGTGAGTTTATGTTATTTTCAAACAGTGAGGGTTAACACATATAATTATGTTTTATATAATAACGAGAATTTTTAGTTAACAATACTATTGATGTTCATCAACACTATAGCAGATTTGACAGCGCAGTAATCTTTAGGCCAAGGACCTTATGTTTTTCTACCTTCTTGAGCATGGCAATGCTAGAAGCAGCCCATCAGAAACATGTGGTACCTCAGTGGCTACGTTAGATGTCTCTTCTAAGCTAATGCAGCTTCTAGTATCCAAGCAGTTTTCATGTCAGTGTATTTTCTTCTTTAATGATTGCTTTTACTGGACTGGAGAGATGGCTTAGTGGTTAAGAGCACTGACTGTTCTTCTATAGGACCCGGGTTCAATTCCCAGCACCCATAGTAGCCTACAACTGTCTGTAACTTCAGTTCTAGGGAACCCAATACCCTCACACAGACATACATGCAGGCAAATCACCAATACGAGACGAGAGAGAGAGAGAGAGAGAGAGAGAGAGAGAGAGAGAGAGAAATAATTGCTTTCACAAGGATTAAAATACATTTTGAGGAAATCAGGGAAGAGAACAACCAGTTATATGTTTTCTTTTTCTTCTGAGCAATTCATTAATTGATCTGACATCTTTAATTGTTGGAGCCGGTACTTGGATAGGCAGATGTGGGCTGAAGGGCAGCAGAAACTTTTTGGATAGCACATGTCCTCCATCTTATATGTGTAAAGAAGCAAGTAAAGTTGTGTAAATAAGGTGGGGAAAGAATAAAAATGTGAGAAGACTAATACAAGTGTGTTTCTGAAGAGGATACATGTGCTCTTAAAGGCTTATTCGGTTGCCTGACTGGGATAACATATAATGCTCCATTAGCATTCGGGAAGGCATTTTCATATTGACTGCATAGGTCCAGACAGCTCTGAGCATGGTCTACATACTAATGCAGTTCCCACCCACATCAGAAAGGCCAGCGTTCAGAAATTATTCACTTTAATTCCAGCCTCGCTGCAAAGAAGTAAATGGGGAGAAATTTATTTGAGCTATGTGATTGTAAATTACTCTTGGCACAAAAAGAGTTTATGTATTTGAGGTAAAAATAAGACCTGATTTCCGTAGAGTTGGTGGCCGCTCAGGAGGTGGGCTCATGGATTTTCACAATCAGAAGATTTGTCATTTCTAAATCGCTTCAAAATTAGCGTTGCTAGATTTTAGAGTAGCCAACAAGATCTAAATTTAACCTTAGCAAAATGTTCTATTATTCTATTTGTCCTATAAACAAATGGAATGGATATTATTATTATTACAATGCTTTAAAAACAATCACCCTCTTGAGAATGAACTTCTGTAAGTTTCTTTCTATAATGTAATATAATGGAAAGGGTGTAAGGTTACTAAATAAACCTAAACTTTAAATAGGCCTGACTCCAACATTCATGTTAATTTCACAAGTACTTGTGATTTTTATTATATGAAGTCAGAATAGAGTGGCTGGTATCATCAGCTAAGACTATCAGTAAAACCTATCAATACTTTTCTTGTTCAAATACTCATAATGCTTTCTGTTACCTAGATCCTGACACTAGGAATATGTTGAGTTGATTGGTTGGTCATGTGACTTAAATTTAATCTTTGGCTGTGAACAACTAAGCAGGAGTGAATTTTACTTTGAGGTGTAGGATTTCCCTGGGAGTCTGTTCAAATCAAATGCTGACTCTTTCAGCCGTTAGTTATCTAGATTGTAGGTGGCAGCCAAATTTTTCCTTTGAATCCCTTCGTGTTATGAGAAGATTTCATACCAATAGGCAGTTTCTGTCTTTGTGTAAACTCATCTTCCTCTTGGGCCCCACCTCCTCTTTTCCTGCACGTTCTTCCTATGGGTTTGAATCCACATTTAAGCCTTTGTTTGTTTTATTTGGTAAGCTGCGTGTGGGACCAATTAAAGGAAATGGGAACCACTCCGTACTCTATGTATGTTTATCCCTCTATTCTTGCTGTATGTGCCTGGTGGATGATCTGGATCAAGAAAACGAGCTGAAGGCTTCGGGCCTGTCAGATTGGCCTCCCTGATGGTATCTGTTCTGGATCAGCCTTGTGAAAGGCAAACTTCTAGTTCTTGTCATTTTCATACATATTTATATAACCCTAGTGTTGCTTCAACTTTTCATTGCAGCTCATATTTTTTTTTTTTTTTCGAGACAAGGTTTCTCTGTGGTTTTGGAGCCTGTCCTGAAACTAGCTCTTGTAGACCAGGCTGGTCTTGAACTCACTGAGATCCACCTGCCTCTGCCTCCCGAGTGCTGGGATTGATCTGGAAGTGCTTTTGCTTGTTCAAAACCTGTTTGGAGATTTTCCTGATGCCTGCTCTGGGGCTGGTGAGATGGCTCAGCATGGTAATAGTGCTTGCCACCAAGCCTGGTGACCTGTGGTCAACCCCAAGAACCCATATAAAGGAAGACGGAGAGAGCCAACTCCACAGGTTGACTTCCACACACATGGGTGGTGGGAAGAGCTCCCTCCATGCACAGAGAGATTAATGAGTGGATGGATGAATGAATTTAGGGGATTCTGCTATTCTCAGTGGCCACTCACGAAGAGCTCTGTATCAGGAAAGTTCATGTATAGTCCTTTTCTTAGCTGCTGAAGCACTTTGACAGGCCATGGGAACGGTACGTAAGGATTCCTAGTTTCCCTGTATAACGAGTGGTCATTCCGTGTGGTTTATGTGGGCGTTCAGTATGCTGCCCGGTTGCGCTTTCTAAGAAGTTCCTCTTATTCTTCCACATCCTTCTCACGGAAAGCAGGTTGACATCTGAAAGCAGAATTGGAGACATGCATCCATGCACGTACAGGCGCACTCACACATCCACACACATGTGTGCTGCATGCATGTAGACTTCGTAAGAGTGGGCTTGGCAAATGGCTCCCCAGTCTTGGGTCTCAGCGATGAAAAAAGAAGTCATAGATTTCTTATCTGGCTCTGAGTTCCCAAGATTCTCCCATGTAAGACCACCTTGTACTTTCCCTCTTCTTGTTCTCAGAGGCTCAGTTTTCTTAGGACACTTGGCCACTCTCAAGTCACTTCTTCTTCTTCCAGGTAGCAGTGCAGTGATGTGTTTAAAGTCATTATACTTCATCCGCCTTCACTTGCGGGACTGTTCTTTTAATAGAATTCTTTTTCTTATTAGGATTTCTAGACTCTCTCCAATTGTAATTCACCTTCTTCTGAAGCCCTCTGGTTACTGTTGTTTTTTGTTAATCAGCTGTCAGTCAAAAACATACTTCAGAGTTCCAGCTGTGACCCAGCCAGTTCCAAATGTACTGAGACTCCTAGCCAATTTGATTTTGTATTCTGCTTTAACATTCATTTCACCCAAGAGTAAGTGCATTTTTCTTTCTTTTTCTCAGTTTTTTTTAAAGCTTCTTTAAACGGCTGGTGTTGAAAGATAGGCTACTTGAAAGCCCTCTTTTCTTTGTGCATTGTAATTGATGCATCTCTGACCCTTGAGTATTTCCAACTCTGGTTTCTGAATCTGGTTGTATCTGTTACACATGTCTCAATTAAACTAAGTCTTGGTCTTGAACCATTGATGCTCTGTCCTGGATTCCCAGGGGTGGTCTCTACAGTAGTGATTGTATGACCACGTGTAATTCCTGTCTTCGAAATGCACCTTAGAGGTTTGTACATAACTACCGAGAAACACTTGCATAAAGAAATCCCTTTTACAATGTCGAGTGAAATATTTTTTGAACACAGAATAGTGCCCCCCCAATCCCTTTTGTCCATCATGGTATTTGATTATATTACTGGGGTTTGTATTCCAGTAAGCATGGGCCAGGCCTATTAGGAGAATTTAGATTTTAGAACTATCCTTTAAAGATTATGCCAACTGGAAATTTAATTACCCTGTTTCATATAGTTCAATCCTGTTCAATAGTTAAAATATTAAATTGTGCAGGGTCGAGAAAGAGGTCTTCATATACGAGCGTAGGATTGTTTCTGGAATCACAAATGGGGAAGATCAGGGCTTCTTAGTCACTGTATATTCTTAGAATATTGCTCTAATTGTCTGACTTCAGAATTGTGGGTCTTAACGCTAAAAGTCTCTGTTTTTTTAATATTCAGAATTTGTTCTTCCTCTGATATTGAAGATCAGGATATTTTCTAGTTTTCCTCATAATTTGTTGTTCCCATCTGTTATTTCATGATCAAACAATAAAATTCTCCCAAAAAGCTTTGCCCTGTTTTCAACTAAAAAAAAATCTTATTACAGTGTTTATTCTTACGTTTCTTTTCTTCAGAACCTTCTCCATGAAGCAAATTCATCATAGATAGACCAAGTATATACAAAGATGATAATCCACTAGAAAATATTTGTTTGACTATCCCAAAGCCTGGCATGACATCTAATATGGTATTTTGACAAATTTGGGAGCTGCTAAGTATTATTAACACCAAGTATCTATTTGTCACGATGTTTGCTGCGAACATGGTCCATTTTGGTTTCTAGACGTACTTTAGGGAAAGTTTTCTTTGAATAGCCTCTGTGGTTAATGAGTGGCTATTCCTTAAATAGCCCTGGCTGGTTCTCTTATTTAGATAAACAAGGCAATTGCTAATAAATCTTTCTGACAACTTCTGTGGACCGTTATTTTCCAAAAGTGTGAATAGATGTGCTAAGTGAAAGAAAAAAAAAAGAGTTGGCTACGTAAGTGAAGAGAAGCTAAATGATATATATTATTCTCCTGGCTATTCAGAGTCTGTTAGTTTTATTAAAATTTCTGAGAAACTTGAGGAGGGGTAGGCAGGGCTTTAATGTTTTCCAGTGTTGTTGAAGAGAACCCATTTGTTATGGTTACACTCCATCATGACTCCTGCTAAGTTTGATTGTTGTTTGTTACAGCTAGTAGAGGTAACTTCCTGGCTAACAAGCTGACCTAGTCATGGCTGCCCAGGCTCTGCCCCTCCTAAAACTGTCACTGCCCCCTTTACATTGCATCTTGCTTTCTGCTTTCTGCATTGGGTATATTAGGGCCTGTGGTAGCATAAGCAGGGCTATCCTAAAACTTCTTTGATCCATTCCTACACGTATCCAGCATTGCCTGAGGACAGGCCAGAAGCAACACTGTGCCGTGTGCTGTTGTGAGGACACCAGTGGCTTTTTTAAAAATTGCAGACTGCTTGTTCTCGTTGCGTCTGGAAAAGAAGATGTAGTGAGAGAACTGTAGTAAAAAGGGTTTGCAGGAGAGGCAGGGTGATGACAAGGATCTCGATAAGGAGAGAGATGCTCCAGTTGCATGATTTGGTCATTAAAAAGTTTATCAAAGGGCTTGATACTGGAGACGGCCTTTGAAGATCAGTAAGACCATTAAGGTAGAAACACAAGGCACTCTGAGTGGGGGCGAATTATGACCTGTCAGAGGCACTAGGGTCGAAGCGTGAGGCTTATGTGTGGGATTTTGATTAATTTTGATTAATGCTATCTACTAGACTGGAGTAGAAGAGGAGGCCTGAAGTTTGAAACCATACTTTCCACCTGAAGATCAATACCATGTGGCAAAAAGACCACATGATATGGAGAAAATAGCAAAACATGAAAGCAACCACCAATATTGCCATCTTCCCTTCCTTCCTTTCCTCCCATTGTCCTCTCTATAGGGCGTGGCTCCCAGATGCCAAGCTAGAGTACAGAACGGTGCTTTAACAGTCTTTGTAAGCCCAGAGTGGTGGCCATCACCTGGGAGACCAAGTCAGAAGGTTTTCTATGAATTCACGCTATCCTTTCTGTAATGAGTTTTGGGCCAACCTGGGCTAGTCTGAGAAGCTCCCCCATTTCCACCACATAGAGCCCTTTGCAAACACTGAGCCAGTCCTAGCAGTTCTGAGCTTTTGTGGGCAATAGATAGCTTAAATTACAGCCCACGTGCAACAATAAAGGAGGAGTGCTTGTACCTCCCACTGGCATTCACATTAAAGAAATGGTGGCTATGGATTTAATGGTGAGAGGGTTGTAAAAGTGGGCTACTGTGGCAGGAATATTTATTCTAGTCTCAAGAACCATTTGGGAGGCACTTTGTGCCCCAAAATGGCCATCTGCACGGAGGACACCTTTCCTGTCTCTGGAAATGACAAATCTGCCCCATAGAAATTACCTTGACTTTTGATGTTACTCCACAGAGATGTGTGGAGTATTCTTATTTATCGTAGACTCCATTAAATGGTTCTTTCTACTGGGCTCTTAAGAAACCAGTTTAAATATTTTTCTTCTCTTTCCAAACCTTTGTTTTGAACTTTTGATATTACAATTTTTTTTGACATCTCTCCCTTTCCTTTCCTTCCCTCCAAGCCCTAAACCCTCTCGATTACCCCTCCCCCACTCTCCTTCAAATCCACGGCCTCTTCCTCCCCCGTTAATTATTATGGTATGCATATATGTATATGCATACATGTTCTTGAATAGGACCTGGTCAGTCCATACAATGTTACTCTTACGTCTGTTCTCAGGGTGACAGGGAGATGTAAGGAGGACGGAAAATTCGCCCACTAAGAGGGTCAGCAGTAGTAGCAGAGGAATGAAGGGCGCAGCCACAGAGCGCCAACTTCGCTATCTGTGCGATAAAATTAGGGTTCCACCATAGGTAGTTTACCGTGATACCGTAGGCTTGGTCTGGCTGAAACAGACGCCCGAACTGATGTGATAATCAGTGATATGTTAACATTGTATCTGGAGGGTAGGAAGGGGGAGTTTGAGAGTGCTGAACCCCGGAAAGTGTATTTCATTATTGACGATGCTGAAGCTGAACTGCTGCGACGCACTGACGCCACTCTGGTCCCCATCTCACAGGAAGTCGGAACTTCGAATTCACAAAGCATCACTGGCCGATTCCGGAGAGTATATGTGCAAAGTGATCAGCAAGTTAGGGAACGACAGCGCCTCGGCCAACATCACCATCGTCGACTCAAATGGTAAGACACCTGCCGCCTGCTGTTTCTCAGCTGTGTGAGAGATCCATGGGTTAATGTTCACACACACACACACACACACACACACACACACACACACACCTGCTTGAGTTGATTAGGACAGTCAAGTCTTTGGTCCTATCAACCACACAATACAGTTATATGTTTATATACATACTATACATATACACATACACACATTCAGACACAAACAAGAGTACTTATGTATGTGTCCATACACATGAATAAATGCATCTGTTCTATTTATGTGCAAGACCTGAAGTTTTAATGTTCTGTTGTGCATTTTAAGCAATTACACCAAGCTAATAGCAAGCTAGATACACTGACTTTTTAGGGCTGCTAGGTTTGAAATTAGGAACACCTGAACCTACTTTGTAAAGGCTTCAGGCTTCTAACCCAGCCTCCTTGAGAGCTGTTGGGGAGGATTTGCTTAACACACAAATGAGTCAGACACAGGAAGTACTACCTCCCAGCTAACAACTTCCCTCAGCTCTCTTAGGAAATCCGAAGTCTGCAGTTGCTGGCTTGTGTCTTCTATAACTCAGTAACCCGACCTGTGAAGATCGTATCTAGGAGCTCATGAGAGCCTAACAATGCTTCTTCTAACCTTGGCACTTTGGGGTGTCATTTCAAAAACCTTACTGTGTCTATTGTGTCTTGAAATGATGTGAATTTTTATAAGCCCAATTCTGCTTGCTCTGCTTCTTGGTAGAGATGAGAAGCTTTCTATGGCAGGAAATGGTCTTTTGGAGTAAAAAGGCTAGGATGGCAGGCCTTCATGGGAAGAGTAAGTAACAGTAAGGTTAATTGTTTAAGAGACCGAATTAGTTTGTATCTCTTGATCCTCACATGACCCATTATGTCAGGGAGAGGGGAGTAGAATAAAAAAGATTTGGAGCAGGCTCAGGAAAATCCAGGTTAGTGACTGTTCTTCTCTGGACTTGCCCAGGAAGTCTAGAGTGGCATCATCAAAGTCTATTACCTTTCTCTGTAGGTCGTTCCCTCTGTTGGAAGTAAAGGAGACTCACTCGATGAGAAGTAGTTCTCATTGCAAGTTTTCAAAGCCATGCTTTTGGTACTTAAAATGCAAATGGAATTTAACATGTCTATGAGCAAGTACAGTGTTACTTCAGTGTGTGATCGACACAGGTTGAGCCGAGCATTTTGCTCCTATTACTTTATTCTATATGTGATTATTTTAGAATTGCTACAGAAAACTCAAAACTTAAGGATTACTTAATTTCAGTAGCTTTTTTTTTTTGTTTGTTTGTTTTTGTTTTTTCGAGACAGGGTTTCTCTGTGGTTTTGGAGCCTGTCCTGGAACTAGCTCTTGTAGACCAGGCTGGTCTCGAACTCAGAGATCTGCCTGCCTCTGCCTCCCAAGTGCTGGGATTAAAGGCATGCGCCACCACCGCCCGGCTTCAGTAGCTTATTTTTTACTGTGGTTTAGGTCACGATTTTTGAAAACAATAATGTTGTCTTTTTTTGAGAATATCATGACCTCTGTGTCCTGTTTTGAAAGCTGTTCTTGTAATTCTATTTTAACATGTCTTCTTATGGTAAATTGTGAATTATGATTGTGGCGTTCAGACTTGATTTTTGTAGCTATGCATACTATATACTCTCAGATAAATAAAATGAGACTATTATCATTACTATAGTATGATTATATTTATCATTCCATGGCTTCTGGTTTATAGGATAAAACAGAGATGATCTACCTCTGTAATAGTCCTGGAAAACATCTCTAGGGTCCTTTTTTTGTTAGTTTGGAGGGAGCAAAAGTTTGATAATTCTCATTTTTATATTTCTCATCAGATTAATTTTCAAGTCATGGTCCAGTGCTCAAAGTTGAATATATAGTACTGATGAATTTAAGTTTTAAGGAATGAAGGTTAGAGGTGCTTATGATATTGGGCCTTTTTTTAACCTAACAAAAAGAAAAAGTTCATGGGACTATTTTATTCTTTTTGCGATATTCTTTTGCTTGTTTGCTTTTCTCACAATGTCTGTAGCCCGAGTTAGCCCTTGGATATGCTAGACTGCAGAGGATACGATTTTGTAATCTATTTTTCTCTGCCTCTGGAGTGTGAGCTTACAGGCTTGTGCCATTAAACCCAGTTATTGCAGTGGCTTTGGAGATAAAGACCAGACCCTGTTCACACTAGATGAGCATTCTGCCAACCCAGCCACTCCCCAGCCCAGTCCTGGCTTTTAGTCACTTAAAGCATCAGAGTAGGAGAATGCAGAACCCCAGGAGCAGTGTGATGTGAGGAGAAGGGCATTGAACCCTCTCAAAGGTGTGGGGTCTCTAGAAGGATGTGGGGGAAGGGAAAAGCTGGACTCGAATAAGTTGTATGAAATAAGTTTTCCCATAAAAATGAAATATGAGTCTTAGAATGGTAAATAAACCATTTCAGAATCAGAAAAGTTGTAGATAGCAAAAGGCAGCCTAAACCTGCTTTTCCTTCCTAGAGTGCAGTAGCCCACGCTGTATCTGAAGGTGTATGTGCGCACAGAGAGGAAAGGCAGAACCTTTCACTTTTCACGAACAGCAAGGAGAAGGGTGTCAGAAGGAGAGAGTTCTAGGGGAAAGAGCTTGGCCTTGGGGAGACGGATTTGAACACAAGTATCCCAAAGAGTTTAGACAATGCCATCACGTGACTGTTTTCTAGTTGTTCTACCTTCAGACTGTGTCAGATCTTTTTAAACTTACAAAACAAAAAACAACCCACAGTTTTCTCTCTTCCTTACTTGACATGCTTTCACCTCTGCTTCTTGGTAGATCCCTACCTAACTGGTTTATGCTCCCCCGACTCTGGCAGATTCGTCTCCAGAGCGTTGTTTAAGATACCCTTTGAAATGTACCTCTTTCCTATGGCCCTGACCTTAATGTCCCAATAAGAGTTGTGCTAGGAAGGATATGATTAGCAGGGACTGTGCCACACCACGCCATAAGACCCAGAGAATCTGCAAGGATTTACACCTGGCCCTATATCCTGTCCACTGCTTATAAACAGTGGAGGTGAAGCCACACCCACGTGTGGCTGAGTAGATCTATTTCAATGAGCACCTAGATAGGAATTGACTAATAAAAATTTAAGAAATTCCTTGTGCTTGTTTTTATTTGCTTCAGTGAAATCGTGACCATATTGCCAAAATATTTAAGTGCTTCAAAAAAGAACACATGTGTAGTAACTCATTTATTAAGCTACATTTGAAGAATTTGTTTATCGTTGGCCCTTCCTGGTGTCTTTTCATTGCTTTGTGGAATTGGAAGAAAGAATTTGCATGTGTAAATATGCATAAACGTGTGTAACCTGCTAGTGTCTAATGTTGATTTTCCTAGATATATTATGGTAGGTCCTGTGGCGAGTTACAAAACACGTATTGGAAGGGGAAAAGGGCACACATGTTTTCCCTCAGCCCATACACTCTGGGCTCATATTTATCTAGTTATTTGGCTTGGTCTTTCTCTAAGAAATCCTAATTTCACAATTAATTCTTAGCTAACAAGCTCTAGGAAAACACTTGGATATTAGAATAAAGGAGCAAAGACAAGAACCACAGGCATAATTGCTTTGCAATCTGTTCAAAGGTTACTGTGGGAGAATATACAGCCACTCCATCATGTCTTGAGTTTTCTTTTTAATCAGGAGAAAACCTATATAAGGTTTGGGCTCAAGGAATAATTGGGCTCATAGCCATTGCTGTTCCATTTGCGAAACAGAAAAAAAATTTTAATAAAGTTTGAATAGCTTATATTTTGTGCTTTAAAATTTTGGCTTATCTGGGTCATGGGCTTAGTTAGCCCTTACCCCTCTCCCAAATGTGGTATTGTGGGAAATATATTGGTAAACAGCTTGTGAAGTCACAGTGAGAAGAATGTCAGGAAGGTTTTGCTTATTTTTATTTATGTAATTATTATTTTGAGACAGGGTCTACTACTCAGCTCTGGCTGGTCTAGAACTTGCTATATAGACCACACTGGCCTGGAACTCACAAAGAGCTGCTTGCTTTTGCCTTCTGACTAATTGCCGGGGTTAAAGGCATGCACCCACCAAGCCTGGCGGCCAGTAGATTTAAAACTTGTTTGTCATTCTCCATGTGTATTATATTATGTAGGGTGCTCATAAAAGCTAATACACATTAATAATATGGTTAGAATATGACAGATTATGCATAGTGCCCTTATAGCATTTATTAATTTGGAAACCTCTCTGCTGCTTAGGTATGCATTGAGTACAATAAGAGTTCGGATATTCTAAGATGTTCCTGAGTTCATGTTTTACCATTGTTAGTGAATTAGTGCACCCACTTTTAAAATCTATTTTAATCGCAATTTTGGTATACATAGTAGAGCCTTAGAAGTTTAGGGAAATAAAGAATGACATAATGTATGTTAACTCCGCACAGACATCACATATGTGTGTGTGTTTCCTGAGTATTTATGTTCTCATTATGCTCATGACGAAGTCTCCAACAAGTCATACATTCTTTCTCATTAGAAAAATTATTTTCCAGAAGACACTTACCAGCCATTTCACTTGAGACTTAATCCAGTTTATTAAAATCATTTTTCAAACATGAAAAATACAACAGTGTTATGTTTTCAGGTCTACTAAGTGTAAGTTGGTCATCAGTGTTCAATTCCTGACGATTTTAAAGCCTCACTATTTACACCATCGAGTAGACTTTTGTAAATCTAATGAACCAACTTACTGTTCTAAAATACACCACTTAGCTGCTAGCCGAGGAGATTGCAGGACTTAAGTTTTTTTTTTTAAATCTGTAAGTGGAATGTAAAATTCCAATTACACTAAAAACAAGCAAATTTTTTTGTTTAAATCCTTGAACGCTGCACACGGCAGGGGGGGGGGTCTTTCTGGGTAATTAGTGTTAATCAATAGGATTGACATTTCTTAATAGCTAAGATCTTTTTAAAGTCTCTGTTTTGAACATATAAGTTATTTGTTAAGCTCCGAGCTTACATTTCCTCAACATTAATTCAGGAAGTATTTTTTACTGAAACCACAGTCATTAAAGAGGTTTTAAAAATCTCCAGGATAAATATCTAATTTAGGAAGGGCACTATCTTCAGGAGCTTCCATGTCCAGATATAACTGCTGCAACCATTTGTTACTGTGAACATTTGTCTCTAATGCAGCCTTCAGTCACAAGAGGAAGTTACAGTTAACCTGTCTTCCGTGCTGAAGTCTTTTTTTTTCTTTTTTTACTCTTCTTGGAAGGTCACAGTAGACAATCACTCGGTTTGCCAAAAATAAATGTGGAGAAAATTTTGACATCAGGTTGGGCTTGGATCTTTGCCCAATCCTTGTCAGGCAATGTGGTGGTCAAGTCATTGATGCATTCTGAAGGGCAGAATAAGGAGGGATCTGTCAACGTGGGCACAAGGTTGGAAAGCCTTACATTGGAAGCATTCCAGGCGTGCCTACAGAAGAACGATTGTGAATCTGGGATTCAAAAATGTTTCCTCAGTTTCTGTGTTTCCAAAAAAAGAGCAATTTTATTTTATTTTCTACTTGACTTTGCTTCAGGAACAAGTGTCCCCACTGGTTCAGCTGAGAACATTCCTGTCTGCTGCCCCCTGCATGAGAAAGTTCCAAGGAAGTCATACACCCTCATGCTCAAATCCCTTTTACTTTGTCCCATTGCTAACGAGCATAAGAACTGGTGGAGGAAATTTCGATGTCGTGAAAACAATCTCACTTTGCAAATGATTGACCTCAGAAGGCACTCTTCCTTTGCACTAAGAAGATAACATCTGAGCTTTTTGAAAAACACATTTCTGGTCTTTGATACTTGACCATCCCTCCTGAATCTCACGTGACTTTCATTCTGTCTACTTCCTCAAATTCTTTGGTCCCTCAAGACATTCAGAAGTTGAAGGGGAATTATCACGTCAACCAATTTTTCTTCCTTGTTAGGCTGGTCCCATCCTGGTGGTATCTGTGGATAAAAGGATTACATTGGTAATGAACACATCACTCTATAAATAAGTGTTAGTTTAGACTTAAAATGATAGTCTATATGACCTTATAAGAGTTTCAGGCAGATGTAGTACTTTTTTATTGTTTTTATTGAGCTTTACATAATTCTCTGCCTTCTCCCCCTTCTTGTTTTGTATTGTAGCTAACATCATATGAGACTTGGTTTTCTTTGTCCTGGTTAGGGAGGGTGAGAGTAAACAGCATTTGATAACTTATACACAGTCGAGGTGGGATGATTCTATCATTTTACCTTTGCGTGCTCCTAGTATCATGAAACTGCCTTTGAAAAGAATCTGACCAACTAAAGCCAGTCTTAGGACTGAATGCAGAGCTACATTTATTACCTCCTTAGAACTGTAAGAAAACAAGGTTGGAGTCTTAAATAAGTCTCATAATTCTCAGGATAATGGTGTTCCCTGCTGGGCAAGTTTGTCCTTCTTTCTTTCAGGGAAGTACCTGCTCAGGCAGGCTCTGTCCAGAGTAGCCAACAGGTACCAGATGATAATGTTCTCATCTCGCTCTACTCTGGCGAGTTGAAGAGTTCCGTGCCAGAACTTGGTGTCGTCTGACAGTTCCAACAGAAAACACTGCTTGCTTTCATTTTTGAACAAAATAGTAATTTTCCAGACTCCTCAAGATTAGAAATGACCTCGCTTTGGTGTGACAGTGGCTTTGACGCTCTTGATTCCCCATTTCTTTCTCCTTTCCAAGGAACCCACCATCCGTCTCTCTAGTGCTTTCTTCCTCATTCAGCGCAGAAGGAGCAAACGGTTCCTCATAATTACTTAGCGTAATTCATCTCAGGCTCTTCCCCCACAAAAGAAGAACTATTTATTTGAACTGTCTTCACGCAGTGCGCCTTCCTCACACCCGTTCGCATCGGGAAGGCAGGCCATGGCCCCAGATCCCAGGCTCCTGCTGTACCCTATAATCGCCTGTCACCTTTTCTTTTTTGCAGAGTTCATCACTGGCATGCCAGCCTCAACCGAAAGAGCATATGTGTCCTCAGGTAAGGAATGGAGCCTGGCAAACTTTACTAACCAGTGTGAGAGGCCTAACTGCTGGCTGTTCCTCAGTACTAATCAGCACTCCCTTTGCGTCCATATTTCAGCCCGTGCTCTGCTCCAGGGTTTTCCTCGGCTTCCTTCTGCCTTTTTGGATTTTACTTGGGGCAGGAGGTTTCTTTGCTGTATCCCTGAAAGGTGGCTCAAGACACAAATAGGAGAGAAAGAGATCCTATCTTCATGCTACTTTGTGATATTAGACAAGTAGAAGAGAAACCTTAGGGGTACAGGATCAGATTTTCTGTCTTTGAGCCTGCTTCTCTTGGTTGCTTGGGCAACCCATTGGAAGGAGACTGTGTATCTAGACAGTGAACCCAGCATCTGATGTCTGACCTTTGGGATGCTGTTGGCAGATTCTGGTTCACTAAATCTGAAACAACAACACCCACCTTGACTTTCCCCAAATGTTATTGTAATGTTCTGTTTCCTTTCATTTTTGCCTGTAATATTTACTGGTGGTAGTTGCAGGCTGGGAAGACACAAGCTACTTATCTGCCAAATGTACAAATCAATATATAACCAGAATCCACTGGTTCGTCTACTAGTTACAGAATGACTTCATCTGCCTTGTTTTTGTTTTTGAGACAGAGATTTGGTATGTGGCTCAGCCCAGCATCCCTCTTGGGGGTCCTTTCGCTGCTTCCCTGGAACTAGGGTTACAACCATGTACCACCATGCCCACTCTTCAGTTTTTTTAGATTATAAATACATCATTTCTCTCTTTTACCCCTCCCTCTAAATCCTCTCATATACCCGTCCTTGTTCTCTTTCAAATGCATGACCTCCTAAATATTCCCAAGTATAACCCGCATGCTCAGTGTGTAAAATCTTACTTGTGTATATATTTTCAAGGCTGACAATATGATATTGGATAACCAATTGGTATACTTTTCCCTGGGGAAAACTATTTTTTTTTACTCTTAACATTCCTTAGTTGCCTGTGGTTCTTTGTGTAGGACTGAGGTCTTGTGGGCTTTCCCTGGTCTACTTTGGTATATCTATTGTTATCTTTGTTCAGCTCCTGTTTAGGCAGTCATGTTGGTGAGACTTCATGGGTGTAGTTTCTCATCTTTCTGGGCTGAATAGTCTCTCCGAGTCCCTGGCTTTTACACTCTTTCCACTCCCTCTTCTGCAGTATTCCCTGAGCCTTCGATGTGGGTGTGTTTTGAAGATGCATCCGTTGGGAATGAGCGTCTCATCCCTGGATTTTGATTGATTGTGCTTTTCTGTAATGTTCTCCATCAATTACAGTGAGAAAGTTCATTGATGAGGGGTGAGAAGTATACTTTATTTTCTATGATTTTATGGTTAAGAGAACCGTAGGAAATTAAAAAAAAATAGTAGTTATTTAGCAGCAAATTTGTGGACAGTTGAGATTGAAAACTCATTCCCTTTTTGTAATTTATGTTTTGGATATAATCAAATTACATCTTTTCCCCCTTCCCTTTCCCCTCCAAAGTCTCTGATACACCTATCCTTCCTCCCTTTCAAATTCATGGTCTCTCTCTTTCTCTCCTTCTTCCTGGGTTATAATGATAACCTGCTTTTATCTGGTTCCTTTTGATTTATCAAGATTGTAACTCATTTGCCAGTTTTGACAAAATCACGAGACGAGCGTTATTTTCCATCATTTTACAGAAGACTGCTAACGTGCTAGATACATTGAGTTGCGCGTCTCAGGAAGGAGAAGGGTGGTTTCCTGGAGCTGTCTGCATAGCTCCCTGCTCTATTCATGGGTTGGCATAGTTGCTGTTTCTTACCTTGGCCATACCCTTTAAAGCCATAGTAGTCCAGAGAACCCTGCACAGCCTTCTTCTATGTTCCCCCTTAGTATTTCCTCTTTTCTTCAACACCACTGTTCAGAATCTGAGAGAAGCATGGGTAGGGACGGGGGTGGGTACAGGGAGGCAGAGAAACCAAGAATAAAGCCTTTACTTTTCATCCAGATATTTATTCAATGTAAGGACTTCATTATCAAGACCAGTAGACACGGTTAGCGAACTGGGCTTTGAAAGTTCTGTGGTGCTTCTCTAGGGTAGTTGGACTGTCTTCCACATTTCCTGAAATGTGACCTGAATTTGGTATTCTAGCTGTTGATTTTCAACTTTAAGACTGAGTTTTTTGTTTGTTTTTCTGATTCCCTAGGGTTAAAAATCTTTCGGTCTCATTTTTTTTCTCCCTGCATTCCTAATGCTCTGTCAATACTAAAACGCTCTTTTATTCTGCCCCCATCCTTGCTACCTAAGCAAATCTTGTACCTCCCTAACGTGTTTTCGCTTGCTCAGCATGTTCCGTTGGCTCCTCGTGTGACTGCTGCAATGGGACTTGCATGGACTTTGTTTGGCACTGTTGTTGGTCAGGATGTTTATGCTGACCCAAATTGCCTGGAAATATTTTCACTCTTGAGAACTGAATGTGTGAACGCCGACCCTTCTCTTGCAGTGGAATTCTTTTCGACTTCAAGCCTATACCTAAGGAATGATCTATTTCACCTGTACTGTGGGCTTGCTAAGAATATTTCCCAAAGCTCATTTCACAGTTGGTCTGTGGGTGCCTTTCCAGGTGTGCTCTCTCCTTTCCAGTCTCTTTGGGAAGTCTTCAGAGCAGGGCAGTCTCCGTAATCCTTGTGTTGTACGGGCATTTTCCTGTTTTAAGGGTACCGCTGTTTGGCTCCTGCACTGCTTTTTAGCACAGCTTTTTCAAGGCAATTCCAGAGCCTGGCAACTTTCTAACTTTCCAGTGGCATGACTCAATAAAGCTTTACTCCATTTTTATGTCTTATAGAGTCTCCCATTAGAATATCAGTATCTACAGAAGGCGCAAATACTTCTTCCTGTAAGTACACATACTTCTGCTTGCTAGTCTTTAGCCCAAGGTAATAACTTCTCTCAATGAGCGTGTTCCCGGGTGGCCTCAGCCTTGGAGGTGTGGTGAACTGAGTTTGTGCAGAATGAACTGAGTTTGTGCAGAACGAGGCCTTGTGTTTGAAGTAGAGATGGTTTCCTACTGTGTTCCAGATTAACTAGAGATCTCCTCCCTGCCAAATAGACATGAGAGAATACTATGAAGCCACGTGTGTGTTGGTTTTTGGATAATCTGGTGCCTTTGAATGTTGAAAAATACTTGCATAGCATCTGAGGCCTAGCTTGGGGTAGGTGTTCGTGGGTTCCTTTTCAGATTGTCTTGACCCCGTCAGCAACTGCCACGGGCGCCATACCCAGCTGTTTGGAATTTTGGTCCAGAGTTCCTCAATTTCATATGACAGCCTGCTGTGACAGAGTGAGGAAACTATATATAGATGCCCTTAATTCAAATTTGATAGCAAGTGAGTAATTATGAAAACGTTTGAAGGCACGTCCCTAGGCAAGATCCCGAATGAGTTTCGCCTGGTTAATGTGCTCTGTGCTCGTGAGCTTCTTCGACTGCTAGATTGATTGGTGCTGTGTGCGACGCCAAGGGAGCTTAAAAAATTAGCAAGGATTAGTAAAACTAGCTTCTGATATTTATTAATTGAAAGCGTTGAATTAATTTTTGATATAAAATAGTGAGATGTTATTAAATATTGGCAATCAAACTTAGGGCTATTCTTCTCCTTAATTTAGGTTTTAATATAAAGCAACATTTTGATAAGCTCTTTAATAAATACACATCCATGTTCTTCTCCCAGTCTACAGAATGTGTTAAGAGACAATATCTTTCTTACTTAGCAGCAGGAGCGAAAACCCAACGGCAGTTGACACTTTTTATAACGTACCTTGTTCCTGTCAATCTATTTTCATAGACAGCATTTGGTAGTAAAGCTTTTCCCCTTTGGGTTAGCAGAACATACGCTGTAATTATTTGGTACGAAATATGTTACTTACTAGGAGTGTAGCTCCACCGTAGGGGGAGTTTTTAGTGTGGGTGGATTTCTAGGTTTCACCCCCAGCACCTGAAACAAACAAAATGAAGAAGAAAAATATTATTATTGCCCGAGTTAGTGTCTTGCCTAAACAGCAGCGTGTAAGAGGCTTGATAGCAGCAATCTACGAATATCAAACAAGAAATGAAATTCTAGGGGAGCTCACAGGCTTCCTCGGACCCCTTGTTACATATTCAAATGATAATTGCTGCTGGCATGCTTACAATATTGGTTATTTAGTTCTACTTAGGGAAACATTAGGGAAAAAAAAACGGATGGGATTCACACAACTAACAGTAAAGAGTCATGCTGAACTTTGCTTTTAAAAAAAATAGTACGCAAAAGGAAATACTAGATTTTTCTCCTTGGCGCATTTTTCTGAAAATCTCTCCGTATGTGATGGATTTGAAGGACACCATTGAATCCCTCGGGACTGGAGCCCTTCCTGCTGTCCTGGATAGGGTGGTGGATGTTGTCCTTAAGCACGTGTGAGCACTCCTGGAATGGAAGAATTTCTTACACTTTGGTTGCCCAGGAATTCAGGGAGCTGAAATGAATCTCCTGGTTCACGTTTCAGCGTTCATTACAGTGCTGTGAAGAGAGGAGTAAGTTAGGAACCTGACTCCATTTCTCTCTCTCAGCAGTGGCTTCCCAGTGTTTGGTACTGGTTTGGGAGGAAGAAAGGCTATGGTTTGTGTGCCATTTCCTACATCCCTCTCATTCTTGGTAGGTCAATGTTACTGAACTAATTAGTAAGTCCCCTTTTAGTCGTGTGAAAATAAATATGTTGTATCATTTGAATGTATAAACCAAGCGCAGACCTCCTTAGAATAGACGATGGAGTAAGGGAGGAGCGCAGGACTCATTTCAAGGCAGCACTAATGCGTTGATTTTAAAAGTTCAAAATAGATTTGTTTTATAGTGGAAAAACTATGGAAGAGTTCACATGGGTCAGAGAGACTCAGGCCTGGGGAATGCACCCCTTCCCTGTTTCATTCCAGCAAGCGGGATGACGTTAGGAAAACCCTTAGTATGGAAAGCAAACTGCTTTCAAATGAAATCCTGCCTGTGTGTGGACTCCGTTTCTGAACAATAGACACTGCTACTTTCTAGGGTACAATCTGGAAAGGCTTGTCCAGCAAGCATTTTGTGTGTTGGGACACAATTCCATGTGATTTGAGGGTTATATCAAAAGGCAAAGGCAGCCCAGTTCCCTTTCCTCCAGTTCTGCCTATGTGAATGGACGCACATCCAGGAAAGAGATAGAGTAGGGTTGGTGTTGTGTGCATGTTTGTGCACACATGCGTACCTCTCTGTGGACATGGGTGGGTGCATGTGTTTGTATGTGTGGGTGGATATGGATTTGAGTTTTATTATTTAGGAGGTGTCTACCTTGCTTTCTGAATGGGGTCTTTTATGGCCTGAAACTTACCAGTTAGGTTAGGCTGTTGGCGAAGTAACCCAGAGATCCACTTGTCTCTCCCTCCAGTGTTCTGTGATTAAGGGTCTACCACCATACCCAGATAGAACTCGGGAGACTCATATTTGCATTGCAAACGCTTTTTTCCCTGAGCATCTCCCCAGCCTATGTTAGTTTATATTCTTGTCCTTACTCAGAACCTTCCTGGGTTGCTGCCTGTTCCAGATGCCTTATCCGACCGTCCCAGACCAGAGTTGTCCTCACTTCTCTGGATTAGAGACAAGAAGAAGTAGCAGCATCAAGCAGTCTGGGTCCTTATAGGAAGTAATAGCATTGGCCTTGACTTTCTTAACTGGCAGGGTTCGTTTTCGTCTGGCCGGTGCTTCTCATTCTGCCCGTATCTGTGACCGCCATCCATCCAGTCTCGCAACGCAGGGTACACACTGTTCCCATCCTCGCTAGACAGACAGGGCTTGGGGGTTTTTCTGATAGGAAATTTCAAACCTAGGGTCTTGCTCTACTAGCTCTACCGCTTGCCCTCTAGAAAAATACATTTTTTGAAATTATAACAATTAAGAAATAATTCCTGACTAAATATTTTAAGGGTTTTACTTAGCTTCTACGTATTTCTCGTCATTTTCTCCCCTTTTTATTTTTCATAGAATTTCAAAAATATGGGTGAAACATCAAAGATACTATCCTTCTACTTCTAAGACAAATTTTTGACTATTTTTTTCTTGTAAAACTGGGAACATGCATTGCATTGTAGGTTTGCTGTGTTTTTATTTCTTATATATTCCAGTTTTTTTCTTTAGAATAATTATCCTATTAAGGACCCCAGTCCTTTTAAAGTCATTTATTTTATACAAATGGGGCTTGTGTGACTAAGAGAGCTGTGGGTGGATGGGTCAATAAGTGTCCCGTTACATACAGTGACAGATTTTCAAACTGCAGCTTGGATCTGCTCTATAGTCAGTAGAACCAGCTTGTTTCCTCTTACATAGACTCAGCAAAAATGTAAATGGATTGTTTGGAGCAACCTTAATGACCGCTCGGAAGTGCCAGCTGCCGTTGACCCCATTTTGCGGACAAGTCTCCGAATGCTATAAAAAGTGCCGTTCTTACAACAAAGACTTTCTTGATGTAAGCTTTGCCCATGCCAGTTTAATGCATGTGAGAGATAAACAGGAATGAGAAGGCTCATGATCAGCAATAAGAAAGAAAATAAGTATGCGCCCCCGATAAACAGTGTTAAATAGCAAAATATGATTCAAGCACTAGTAGCAGCAGCGTTATCTGTTATTGTTTGTTTGTTGGGTGCGAGTTATTGTGCCCTCTGTTCTTGGTGGCAGCTCACGCTGCTCCTAAAGCCTCTTCCACTTTACCAGTGTCCAAAGCGACACCAACAGGAATCAAACCCAGATAACATACTACCCTGGTTGGGTTTTTTTGTTGTTGTTGTTGTTGCCTCAAAGCAAAAGCCTTTCCTATGTAAAGCAATGAGACTCTGCAACTGGATTGGAAAGTAGCCTTTAATTTAGAGTGCATTTGTGATAGATGAAGCTAACGAAGTTGAGTTGCCTTAGAGCAGTTGAGTTTTCACAGTTGTACCCATGCACATCCGAGTCTCACAGGTGAACAAATAGAAGGGAAACACATGTATGAGTCCAAATAGTCCACCATTATAGTCTGTTCTTAGCTGGTTGCCTACCTCCCTGAGACTCACTCCCTGTTTCTGGGTGTTATGTGTTTGGGAAGCGTCATGAGAGGAATACAGATGTAAAAGGTGCTACATGGCTGTGCTTATGGGTGGTCGCTTGGACACAAGGAAGAGAGCTAGACTGGAGAATGGCTGGAGCCCTGCAGGGAGGAAGAAAACCAGGGAATCCTTGCATTTCCTCTGAATCAGGCTGGAAAAATTCTAGCCCTCCAGTTGGGGAAGGAAATGAGTTTGTGATTTGCAGCCTCAACAATGACGCTGAAGGTCCTTTGCCAGGAAGTCTCTGCCGTTCATTCCAGCATATTATGTATTCTCAGCAAAGGCTGCGTTTTAAAGGAACATGTCCAGGAAGTTCTCTTTGAAGTCTCTAAAGAAATGAACAATCCATTCTTGGATTTGGCACCTAAATGTGCTAGCTGAAGGCAGGGGGTGTGTCTTCTGTCTTTATCTTAATGAAATACAGCTTTAGCACTCGGGAATAGCACAGGGATATACATCGGCTAAACCAGACCCCGGCTGCCTGGCCCATTGGGACATTTGAGTTATGCTCCTTACCTTCCTCCTTCAGCTGTAACCAACAGAGCCCCTTGTTCTTTGCTAGATGGTTCTCAGCTGGGACAGTAGCATTTTATTTTCAGACCCCTAGTGGTAGCAAACCGGGATCTTGTCATGGTGGAGAGGTACTCTGCCCGAGTCCAAATGGTGTTTGTTCAGGCTTCTTCGAACATGGCATTTTCACGGGCATCGCATCTATGTCCACTGTAGACAACAAAAAATGACTGTGGCCCATATGG